CAAGTGCAGCCGGGCTGATGGCCGAGTGCTGTGATGTGCCGAGTGTGGGCACTCAGGGCACTCCAAGCCAGGACTGCTTTGCTGTCCCTCATCGAGTTATACAAGCAAGCAGGGAACCCTGAGAACTGCCTGTCCGGGGTGAGGGTCGGGTCCCTTTAAGCACAGCCCTCGGCTAGCCTGAGACAGCAGCTCCTCCCTCTAAGTCCTAATCTGATGCCCTGCCGACACTGCTTCCGGCCATCCTTAAGCCCGGTTCAGGGTCCACTCAATGTGGACATGCTAGTTCGAATTAGCAAAATGCTAATTCGAACTAGTTTTTAGGTCTAGATGCACTAGTTCAAATTAGCTTAGTTCGAATTAACTAAGTCGAATTAAGTTAGTTCGAATTAGTGCTGTAGTGTAGACATACCCCCAGGAACTTAACATGTATGCAGGACTGTTAGATGCATGCACAGGTACATGTGCCCACACACACATACATACACTGGGAACATACATACATTGGTAAAGCTCTTTGAATTTAGTAGTGTTTTGTACACAGGCAAACATGCTACTATTATGCTGACATGGATGCATTTCTAGATTCATACACCCATTTGAAACACAAGCATATGCACACATAGTTCAATGCACACTCACATGCATATATATATATATACACAATGCCTTCAACCCAGCAGCACTGTAGGCACACAATCTACACACACATCTGGGTCCACCATCTCTAGGCCCGACAGGAACAGTAGCAAGAGTGGCAGTCTTTGTTCACCTAGTCATCCTGATACTAAAAGGAGAAGGTAGCACTGTCCTTGTCTTGCTATATATTTTAGAAATGTGGGTCTGTCTGTCCGTCTGTTCATCCGTTTGTCCATTTGTTCAGAATGCCTCCTAAACGTTAAGTACTAGGACCACCAAATTTTGCATGGAGCTTCCTCATATCACAGCTTAAAGCAAGATCAGGGTTTGGTTATGTCAGGACAAAGGGATGTGTCTGGAATTTGATTGTTTCTTATAAAATGGAAAGGGAGGGGAGTCTGATTGTTGTACTGAAGAATGACCACAAGGGGGCAGCAAGGGGCCAGAGATGGGGACCAGGACAGCTATAACCCCATCGGGCCAGCAGGGGGCAGCTATCTCCTATATATTTCAGAGAGTTTGTCTATGTGTCTGTCTGTCCCCCAGCAAGCCATAGACAGGGGCTTCTCATCTAGCCCTAAGCTGCTGTAAAGACAGAGAGCTGGGATTGTCCTCTCTTCCCATACTGACTCCCTCAGCCCCACCCCAGAGCAATGATTCATACTGACCCCCTCAGCCCCACCCCAGAGCAATGATTCAAATGAAAAAAAAACCAAAATGTATTTTAGTTAAGGACCCAAGCAACATCAGATATATCTTCTAGTTCTGTATATGTGATCACTGACCCCATTCACTCCTTGGCCTTTCCAGCCCCATCGGGAAGCTCCACCCTCTGGCTACGTCTAGATTGCATCCCTTTTTCGTAAAAGGGATGCAAATTAGACGTATCGCAATTGCTAATGAAGCAGGGATTTAAATCTCCCCCGCTTCATTAGCATAAAAATGGCTGCCGCTTTTTTTCGGCACGGAGCTTTGCTGGAAAAAAGCGCCAGTCTAGACGCAGATCTTTCGGAAAATAAAGCCTTTTCCAAAAGATCCCTTATCCCTTTTAATAAATAAAAACACTCCAGTCCTAGCTTTCCCCTTCCTTTTTGGGCTCAGTTCTCCTTTATATTATTCAACTGAGGGTGTGGGCCAATCATGAGGTGTTGCTCAGCTGTGTCAACCAAGCTCCCAGCACCTGCCTCTGGACTTCTTTCTGGGGCAGGGGCAGGGGCAGGATTCTTTGTCCCCCTTCTGCCTGCACTATTAAAGGGGCAGATTGCCCTGTTATTGATGTTCTCTCTAATTATTTTCCATTCGTGTGTGGAATACATTTTGTCAGTGAGCCAAGGTGTGTGGATGTGCACCACCAGTCAACACACATACTGCTGGCTGTGGGAACTCTGCTAATCAGCTGCATGGCATTTGAATCTCTCCTGTATAGCTGCCCAAGTGCTCAGCTCAGGGAGAACACTGCCTGTTATACCCACTTTTACCTCCAACCAATTCATCTTCCTTTATTATGAATGACTGGCATCAGAAATGCCGGCTCGGGAGAGAGGTCACCAGAAACATTCTGTATGTAAGAAATCCAAAGCTGGTTCCTTTCACATTTCCCCACCTTTTCTCACCGTGGGAAGGACAGGTCTGTGCCCTTACAGAACTACCCAGAGCCCCAGCACATGGCCAGTCAACGCTTTTCTAGTGCCAGGAATCGAGAGAGCTCCTGCTAGTTATTTATTTATTCTTAATCATAATTAAGTTTGCACAGCTACATTGTCTTTCATCTCAGGATCTCAGCAGCTTCATACCTACTAATTAGCAAAACCTCACAGCCTCAGGACTATTCCCATTTTATGGATGAGGAAACTGAGGCATGGATTGGTTTTTCTCAAGGGATGGCATATTGGGAGTGGAGCCCAAGAGTGGCTGCCAGTCCTCTGCCCTGAACATTTGCTGTACTGCTCCACTTCTTGGTTTCCTATGTTATATTAGAAACTGTCCTATTGGGGAGATAGAACTTCTCACTACTAATGTTACACCCTTCTTTTTATTCCTCCCCCAGGTATGCATCAACCCCCCCCTCTCCCATCATCCCATCTGCACCTCCCCAAGCAGACCCTGTTATCCTCAATACTGACATCTGGTTTCAGGTGTCACAGATAAATGAGGTCACAGCCTCTGTCTGAGTTGACATCACCCCAAGATATCAGACCCCGGAGGGGGCAAGTAGCATCTCAGAGCAAGAGGGAGCTCCCAGGTACCTCTCAGATATCTTGCTTGTCTGCTACAAAACCTCCTATCCAAACCCTTACAGAACTATCCCTGAAGGACTATGAAGGCTTCAGGGAAGAAGAAAGCCCCTGTTCACCAGGTACGGTCAGTCCTTCTTCAGACCCTTCATGAATTGTAGTGATCTCCTCCCTGAACCTCTCGAGTGGCAAAGGGACTGTGTGTGTGGCCGGGGGAGAGGGGAGAATTTGCCCTCAGATGGGAATGTTGCAGACTCCCAGGCCTGTGGGCCGGGACCTGGTTTTCCTACATGTGCTGTATAATGCTGAGCACTTTGATGGGACTCAACCACGAAAGCAACAACCAACACACCCAGAGGGGGAAGTCCCAGCAAGGCCCTGATGTAAAGAACTCTAAGGCAATGCTGCACACGTAGTAGGGTGTTCCAGCAGTGCTATTTAAAATGTGGCCCTAACTCAGAGACTCAGAGACATTAAAGATAAGAAAAAGACTGATCAGGTCCCATCTAGACCCTGGTTCCCCCAGAGAACAGGGCTGCATTGCTCCCTACAATGCATTTGCTAGTGCTTTGTCCACTCTAGTTTTAAATAGAATCCTAGGGCTGTTAGAGGCCGCAGGAGGCCATTGAGTCCAACCCCCTGCCCAAAGCAGGACCAACCCCAACTAAATTATCCCAGCCAGGGCTTTGTCAAGCCAGGACTTAAAAACCTTCTAGGGATGGAGATTCCACCACCTCCCTAGGGAACCCATTCCAGTGCTTCACCCCCTCCTAGGGAAATAGTTTTTCCTAATATCCAACCTAGACCTCCCCCACTGCAACGTGAGCCCATTGCTCCTTGTTCTGCCATCCATCACTACTGTGAACAGCCTCTCTCCATCCTCTTCGGAGCCTCCCTTCAGATAGTTGAAGTCTGCTTTCAAACTCCCCCCTCACTCTTCTCTTTTGCAGACTAAATAAGCCCCGTTTCTTCAGTCTCTCCTCATAAGTCATGTGCTCTGGCCCCCACATCATTTTTGTTGCCCTTCCTGGCACTTTCTCCAATGCATCCACAACCTTTCTGTAATGGGGGCCCAAAATTGGACGCAATGCTCCAGATGTGGCTCATTAGTGCCGAATAAAGGGGAACAATCACTTCCCTAGATCTGCCGGCAATGCTCCTCCTAATGCAGGGGCAGCCCGTGGCTATAGGACAACTCGGCTGTTGCCTAGGGTGCCACCTTCAACGGCACCTGATGCTGATGTCATGGGGCACCCAGAGCACCCGATGATGATATCACCCCATTGACAGCCGTGCAAACGGAGACACCAATTGCGCATTCCGCCTGAGGCGCCAGCTGCCGCAGCCTGCCTCGGGCCACTCCTGTCCTAATGCATCCCACATGCCGTTAGCCTTCTTGGCTACAAGGGGACCTCTCTAGCTCCAATCTATTGCCTTAAGTGTGCCTGGTTTTTCCCTTTCACAGACTGAAGATGTGGGGATTGCACCATGTCAACTGAGTGACATGGAACAAGAGAAGAATCATCTAAAGAGAGTAAGAAGCCACCCTGGTTTTGTGCACGTACCAGCTGCTGGTAGATAGGTGTCACCCTCACTATGAGGCAATAGACACTAAAACTGGATGGTAGTGTGAGATCTGTGCATGTCTCTTGTACCCTGCCCTTCTGCAAGCCGAGCAGCAGTACATGGATTCCTGAGATGTATGTTCATCTCAAGGTGTCCCAGGCTTGTGGTTGGAATGTAAACAGAGGGCGATGGTGTGCATGTCACCATCTAAGTGTTTCTCTCGTCTATGGGCCAAGGGCTGTACAACTGGGGATCTGTCTGACATGATAACCCAAGGGGCTGGAAAGGATGTGTGGGTGGATGGAAGTGACCTGTAGCTCCTGTCCTGTGACAGCCTCAAGGAAGGCAATAAAGTATTTCAGCCCGTAATTCCCATTGTATCCAATCTGGCAGATACTCAAGAAACTGTCGCTGCTGAAGCTGCTGAAGAGCGCTGATCGCAGGATCCTCCGTCTACGGGCATTAGCTGTCAGCTACTGGAAGTCGCTGGCATTCGAGGAACCTCCCAGCCTCCCAGCTGTCCCCTCAGGGTGAGTCACTGTGTAACAGAACCTGTGGCTTTTTGCTTCCCTGTGACTATCTCATGGACATGCTGCATGGGACTGAAGATGCTTCCGTGATGGGGAGCATTATGTGAGTACAGTGTGGGATGGGGTGTCTTTGCAGGCTGGGCCAGGAAGCATGACTGGGGCCCAGGAGAGGGGGAAGTGAAAGGTGGCAGGTGGCAGGTGGCAGGTGATGAAATAAGTTCATTCCGAATCTTTTAGGCCTCTCCACTGTGATTCCGCGGGGTTGCACAGTCTGATTTCTGCTTCTGAATGCGAGAGATAAAAAGAGGGAAATGGTTTTGTGCCCAGATCTCTCCAAGAGGCTAGTGGGCAGGGGTGGAGGGACCAGAGGAAGGACCCCCGGTAAGTGGAATAGTGGGATTTCAAATAAAAGGTGGCTATTTGGAGTTGGATCCTGTAATAATCTTGGGGGACAAGAGCTGTCTGGAGATGGGAGAGAAAAGTGCTTGCACTTTGTAGGCAACATCATCAGCAGCCCATTCTGCATAAGCTGGAGTTGGGAGAGCTGGGCCATGGAGAAGTGTAATTGTTGAAGCAGGATGCAATGATGGACAGGATGAGGCTGGGAAGCAGGCTGTCCTGAGGTCTAATCCTGGCTCTGCCACTAACTCAGAGCTTGGCCTTGGGCCATTTCCCCCTTTAAATCAGGCACTCAGAAATAAAATGGTCTGAAGTACCAGGATAAAATTCAATAAGGACAGCTGCACAAATGTATCTGACTTAGGAAAGAACAATCAATTGCATATGTACAAAATGGGAAATGTCGGCTTGGGAAGGATGGTGGAAAGGAATTTAAGAGTCATAGTGGAGCACAAGCTAAAAGCAAACTTCATTCTGAGTGTATTAACAGGAGTGTTGTCAACACAAAAAGTAATTCTTCTGCTGTACTTCATGCTGAATAGGGCTCAGCTGCGGCCTAATCAGCATGACATTTTAGGAAAGATGTGGACAAACTAGAGAAAGTCCAGAGAAAAGGAACAAAAATGATTAAAGGCCTAGAAAACATGACCTATGAGGGACGATTGAAAAAACTGGATTTCTTTAGTTTGGAAAAGAGAAGACTGAGAGGGGACATGATATAACCTAAGTACATGAAAGGTTGTTACAAGGAAGAAGGAAAAAAATATTTTCCTTGAACTCGGATGAAAGGACAAGAAGCAGTGGGCTTAAACTGCAGCCAGGGAGGTTTAGGCTGGACATTACACACTTCCTGTCAGGATGGTGAAGCACTAGAACAAATTGCCTAGGAAAGTTTTGGAATCTCCATCATTAGTGACTTTTAAGAGTAGGTTAGACAAACACCTGTCAGGGATGGTCTAATACTAAGTCCTAACAGGAGAGCAGGGACTGGACTGGATGGCCTCTTGAGGTTCCTACAATTCTATGATTCTAGTCATTTCACCTCTCTGTTTCAGTATCTCTGTCTGTCAAAGAAGAATAATACAAGTTCCCTTCCCTTCCTTCCTCATAGGATGTCGTGAGCTGGAGTAATCAGTTAATTTGCCTGATGAAAAAGCCATGCATTTGAAATAACAGCAGTACAGTCACAGTCTGGACCACTGTGATCATCTCTAAAACTTTGTTTTCCTTTCACTCATGTCATCGTTCCCCACCTCAACCTTTTGTCCAGGCCCTTGAGACTTTCAAAGTGGCAGGTCCCTTGTGAATGTCACCTCGCAGGACCTCATCCTTCTCTCTTTGCAGCAGCTCCTTTCCAATGCTTGTATCCTGCCCTCCGTCCCTGAGGGTATGTCTACACTACCCCCCTAGTTCGAACTAGGGAGGTAGTGTAGACATACCCTGAGTGACTCTCAGACTGTTCCTCCTCCTCCTTTTTGTAGCGAGGTATCTGTTGTGTGAATGGTTCCCAGCATGTTTTCTTTTGGGTTCTCTCCCTCCTGCGCCCACTTGCCAGAATGATCATTACCATTCCCCACGGGTTCGGAGCTCAGTCAAAAGGGGGTCACTAACTAGGAGATCTGGGTCAGGAGGAATTTGTTTCACAAGCTGTTTTGGAATCTGCAGATGGTTGGAAGTGGGACAAACAAGCATGTTTCTGGATTTTGTTTTAGGACAAGTGTCTCCTCCAAGGACCCAGACACGCCTCCAGCAGATGCCAGTGCTGATCCGGTCTCTGATGCTGATGCTGAGGACATGGATACAGACCCTGCAGCTATGCAGAGTAACCTTGAGCTGCCCTTGGAGACCCAGCCTCTTGATCTGCCCCAGAAGTGCCGGTTCGAAGGCCTTCCCAAGCGGCTCCATGTACCCGCTCCCAAGGTGCTTTGTAGACCAGCGACCCAGCGATGGATGAAACCCTGCTGCACCCGGTCATGTGGCGAGACTCTGGAGCACACTCTGACCATCCAGTACCAGGAGTGACAGGGTCTGCTTCCAGTAAGCTTCCCGCCTCTGGCTTTCCCCTGCATCTTTCTCTCCTAGGCGTTAAGTCCCTGCAACTTTCTCTCCCCTAGCCAGGCTGGTTCCTTCTAAATCCAGTCAGGGGCCAGAGGAAGTCACTGCAGACCATTCCCACCCATCCTGCTGCCTGCACACTGCCAGGATTCCTAGTCCTTGATCGTCCTGTGAAGCTGGTGATTGAATGAGGGGCCTAAACTGGAACTGTCTATGTAGCGGCAGCCGGACTAGTATGGGACTCCCCTTTTCTAAAAGTCCTTAAACCTCACTCCTCACCACAGTGTCCAAGCACATAGAATTTTCACTCCCCAGCCATGGCTCGTGGGGAATGTGAACCCAACCATGCTAGCAATACAGGCAAGCACCAAGGCCTCCTTTAATACTTTCCTCCTTTTTGCCCATAGCTAGCCACTCTTGTCTCAGCCACTCTGCACAGATGGGGAAGGACAAATTGGGTCTATCCAGTGCCAAGTTTGTACATGTCTCCTTGAAATTTTTGCCAAGATTATTCCCAATAATGGTCGTGCCTGACCCTGGTCACCAGTTTGGCCTGTTCTTCACCGGTTCTTCAAAGAACCATACATGGACCCTTTGCCAGTCAAGACAATCCCTGCTATGCAGGGCTCACATTTAAAGTCGGCTTTCCTTGATTGGGTAACACATTGTCCCCAACAGAATACGTTCCTTCCCCATGGAGGAGGCCACCGCTCATTAACAGCCCCCTTTGATGAAATCCCACCATCCCCCTTGACACTAAGAGGATTAGGATGCATGTAATCATCACCCACATTAGCTCTGTCCCTGCATGAAGCACAGGATTCCAAGGCAGGTAAGCGGCTACTCTCCTGCTGTGCGGTTGGTGTTTCAGTCTAGAGAAGCTCTGATCACTGCACTCCAGGATTCTTCTCTCTAAAAAACAAACCACACTGATGTTTGCTTTCCTTTCAGGGCTTGCAGATATTCTGAGCTGGGCAGAGACTGAGATGGGCTTTCAAGAGAAAGATGAGCTGTGTGATGCACTGATCCATAATTCTACAAATAAAGGGAATAATCTGCATCCTTCAGAGACAAAACGTGTCTCTGGCATGTGCCAAAGTGGGAGCCGGTTGGAGTAGTTTGGCAAATGGGGGAGGGAGGTTGCAGTTTTCACCTCCCTTGCATTCACAACAGTAATGCAGCTCTCTGAATGGCCACCGTGGCTACTGAGGCTACTTGCATGTAGACAAAGAATTTGATTTTACTTCTTGAGTACAGACACTTGAACTTCTGCTCTCAATAGGGCACGTCTACACAGAAGGGCAAAATTCAAATTAAGATACATAACTTCAGCTACATCAATTGCATAGCTGAAGTCAAAATGGCTTAACTTGGTTTTTGGCACTGCCTACACAGCAGGAAGTTGAAGCAAGAGCACTCTCCCTTTGACGTACTTCCCTTAATCCTCATGAAATGAGGGTTACAGGAGTCGGAGTAAGAAGTCCTCCAACTCGACATTATTTCGAAATAATGGCTTGCTGTATAGATGCATACTCTGTTATTTCAAAATAACGTCGGTTATTCCAAAATAACGCTGCCATGTACACATAGCCTATACAGTAATTACTCGTTGAACACATGCCTGCTTAACATATTTTCACAATAGCACGATTTTTTTTTAGGGAACATTTTTCGAATAACATGACCGTCCCCAAAATAACACGAAAATAATCAAGTGGCGGACTACTTTGCGCGGTGGTATAAGTTGGTGAAAACAGTGGTAATACGCATGAGCGTATGAATACATGTGGTCACAGCGCTCCTCCACTCACTCACGTGTTCATCTTTGTGTTTTAACAAACCGTGGTGTCTTGTGTTGCTAGATATCTAATGCTGACGTTGACGACCCAGCACCAACAAAAAATTGACTTTGCCACCACCATCTGAAACGCAACCCCCACTTTTTCCATTATTTTGAATGGGAAAATTGACCCCCGCATAGCACGTTTTTGCTTAGCACAAACATTTTCAGAAACGTACCTAAAGTGTTAAATGAGGAATTACTGTAATTGCGAAAGAACGTGGCAGCAGTATAGACACAGGTGAAGCTAAAAAAAAAAAATAACCTGTAGACTAGACCAATGTTTTCCAATTTTATTTGGCCACAGAACCCTTTCAGACTCGAAATAATTTTGCAGAACCCCTAATAACCGTCTAATGTACGGAGCTGAAAAAGTAGGCCACAAATAATTAAGGATAATAATAAACAAATACTAAACAAGGTCATGAGATCAACATTTAGTTTAATTGCACAACTCCACTAAAGTCAATGGCATTATTTCAGGGACCGATTTAGCTCATACTGATATATTTAAATTAAACCCAAAGAAGAGCTCTATCGTTTACCAGCCAATTTGTTCCTTGTCCTAAACCAACAGTCCTAGCAGAAGGTCATTTGTATGCTCTCCGTCTCCATCCTCGGAGGGTTCTTCTCTCTGCAGCAGGAGAAAGGGCATTCCCTGGGACATCTGTAGCCCAAAGAGCTTGCTTTGTCCCTAATCCACAGATCCAGGAGGGAATGGAAAACGACACAACCCTGTGCCCATCTCCCACTTCAAGAAGGCCTTGACACTGGTCACAGGCAGGGTTAATGTGCTGTTACAGTGACAAGTGAAACATGCTGCAATGTGATGTCACTAGGCTGAACTGTGACACTCCCAGACCATGAAGTGATGTGAGAGTGGGCAGGAAACAGCGTGTCTGGGTAAAGGTGGGATTCGGCCCTGATTACTACCAGTGTAAATGAAAAGTGACCCCTCCCCCACATCACTGGATGTAAGCAAGAGCAGAACCAAGCTCTAGATATGCAAAATGGTAATCTCCAACGCACACGGGGTGGAGGGATGGAAACAATGGTGGGCAGATTTAGCAAGAGCAGATTTGTTTCTGTGATAACATTTAAGGCCTTGACCCAGCAAAGACTTACACATGTGCTTAGCCTTATTTACCATGACTAGCCCCATTGACTTCAATTAAGTTAATTGAACTGCTTACTGTGCATAAAGTTAAGCACATGGATAAGTCTTTGCAGGATTGGGGCCAAATGTACAAGCCTTCAGGAAAAATATCACCTAGATCCCGAGAGATCATTGAGAAAACAAATATATGAATTATGAATTAATTATGAATGATTATATGTATATAGAATCTTGTGATGATGCAGAATTGTTTTAAACAAACAAATAAATAATAATCTGTTATTGTAGGGTTGCTTATAAGGGCTGGCCTGCCCACACTAGTTTGTTGGTTGGTTGCATGTAGGTAACTCCTGAAAATCCCAGCTATGGATCATGGCCCAGTTGTGCTAGGTGATGTACAAACAAAGAACACAAAGGGTTTACAATTAAGACAAAATGCAATACAGCGAGCTCAAGGAAACAATGCAACACTACTAGCCAGCATGATAAACAGTGGTTCCAGTATCCCAGCCTACCCAACGCTATTGGCATCAAGGCAGAAGTTTGGTACTGTGAGTTGCGTCTGAGGGCAGATCTACTGCCATTGGTTTTGTGTTAGATAAACGTTTGCAGAGACTTTTAAAACAGAGACAAGAGTGATAATCTCCATGGAAAAAGGGCACTTGAAAGTCCTCAACTTTCTAATCCAGGGTTTCCCAGACTTTTTCAGATGTGGAGTCCATAAGGAATCTTGAATATCTGGCAGAGCCCTTAAAATATCATGATTTTTAATTCAATAGGTATCCAAATACATAGGGCAAGTTTTGGAATTCTGTTTTTATTTCTTGACTATTTCTTATAAATTCTTTCCCCTCTCCCCCAAGAAAACAATCAGAAAGTTAGTTACAAAACAACAGGATCATATAACTGTCATTAATATTTTCTCACAGAGCTCCTGTACCTCCCCAGGGCTCCAAAGAGCACATTTTGGGAAACTCTGTAATCCATGGCTACTCAACACATGGTCTGTGGGCCACATGCGGCCTGTGGCCCGTTTATTTCTGGCCCGTGGTGCAGTTTGGATTTACACAGGGCTCAACATGTGGGTGGGAGCCAAAAGAAAAAAGTAGTCAATATAATGGTCTTCTGTTGATATGTGTTTTAGTAGTTAAATTCCTGGACTGCCATTGCTCATTAAAAGTGCTGTCCTATGGGTGGAAATCGAGTAAATATTGCATTTTATTAATATCAGCAGAACTGACTTCAATGGAGCCTGCGTGTTGTGTAGTCTTGCCTTAATCTTTGTATTCATGCCCATCAGTGTGAAATAACTTGTGTATATTTGCATATATATGCAACCACACTTAAGTTGCGGTGGCCCTCTGCATGTGCTGTGAGTATCTTTGTGGTACCCGGGGCTTCCAAAATTGAGTAGCCCTGCTGTAATCTAATCCATGTCCTCCATGAAACAGGAGAAGAGGCCAGCAGGTGGCACTAGGATTTTGCATTACAATTCAGTTTAGGGAATTGGCCGTGATAAAGCCTAAACGGAAAAAGACAAGATGAGTCAGGTGTGGGAGGTGGGAGTGGGCACCACTTGCGCAGGCTGGTTCACATGCTGTGTCTGGGGTTTGATCCCTTGTGTCCATTTATCATTTCAGCTCTGGTGGCAGCTTATCGGCCAGGATGGTTTTTCTATTCGGGTCTGACCTCAGGTTGCCAACCCTCCAGGATTGGCCTAGCATCTCCCGGAATTAAAGATTAATCTTTAAGTAAAGATTAGGACATGTGCTGAAATCTCCAGGAATACATCCAACCATAGTTGACAACCCTAGCTAGCCTGACCTGAACTGGGCTGAAATCCAAGGGCCTTTGGATCATGCCCTGAGTCTCCAATACCCCTTGCCATCTCCACGTGTCAATCCTTGTTGCTCCTTTTCCTATCTCTAGCTTTGCTGCCCAGTGCCCTCTATACTTTGCACAGTTTCTTGAGGGGAGCTGACAGAATTGCCAGGCCCCTGGGCAAGGTGGGAAAAGGGGGTCCAGCTCCGTGCACCTGGAAGGGGCAGGACCTCGGGCGTAAGGGATGGGGCTTGGACAGCCAGACTGCAGCACCACCCCAGAGTGCACCAAACTGCAAACCCTCCCTCTCCTATCCAGCCCTCTGAACCACCCAAAGTGTGCCATGTGGCACTCTGGCATGGGTTTAAAGGGCCCAGGGCTCTGGCTACCACTGCTGCTGCAGTAGAGGCATCCAAGAGCCCCAGGGCCCATTTGAATTTCCTGGCCTGGGGCAGCTGCCCCATTTGTTCCCCTCCCCCTCATCAATGGGTCTGGTAATCTCAGATAAATGCCTCTTCTCTTAGCAACAGCTCCCTTGGGACAGCCTATCTCTGGAAGGAAGCCCTGGGGCATAAAATCCTCCCGTCCCAGCCAGAGCTGAGAACCTCACATGCCAGTTCCCTGCTGCTGGTTTCTTTGGTTCAAAATGGTTGATGGTTACTGTTATTATTTATGTATTTGTATTGCAGTAGCACCCAGGAGCCCCACACAAGGATCAGAATCCCACCGAGCGAGGTGCTGTATATGCACAGTACAAAACATTCCTGCCCTGAAGAACTTACAATATAAGGTTAAAATGAGATGGATACGGACAGAAGGGCAGTACCAGGAAACATAATATTAGTTAGCATGGCAGGCTGTGGTCTTAGCACACCAGCAGCCTAAGTGCTGTGAAATATGTTGTAGGCATCTTGGCAGAGGAGAGCTTTAAGAGAGGATTTGAAGGAGGACAGAGATGGCTTTGCACATGATGACAGGGAGCTGCACTTCGCCTTCCAAAGAACAGCTGGTGGCCTAAAATATTCCTTCCACTGAGTCTGCACAAGCGCTATTTGCCGGTGAGGGAGAAGGTGAATGGGAGAGAGAAATGTGTGTGAGACTGGGATGTTTCTGTGTGTCTGAGACGGTGGGTAGTTGACAACCCTAGCTAGCCTGACCTGAACTGGGCTGAAATCCAAGGGCCTTTGGATCATGCCCTGAGTCTCCAATACCCCTTGCCATCTCCACGTGTCAATCCTTGTTGCTCCTTTTCCTATCTCTAGCTTTGCTGCCCAGTGCCCTCTATACTTTGCACAGTTTCTTGAGGGGAGCTGACAGAATTGCCAGGCCCCTGGGCAAGGTGGGAAAAGGGGGTCCAGCTCCGTGCACCTGGAAGGGGCAGGACCTCGGGCGTAAGGGATGGGGCTTGGACAGCCAGACTGCAGCACCACCCCAGAGTGCACCAAACTGCAAACCCTCCCTCTCCTATCCAGCCCTCTGAACCACCCAAAGTGTGCCATGTGGCACTCTGGCATGGGTTTAAAGGGCCCAGGGCTCTGGCTACCACTGCTGCTGCAGTAGAGGCATCCAAGAGCCCCAGGGCCCATTTGAATTTCCTGGCCTGGGGCAGCTGCCCCATTTGTTCCCCTCCCCCTCATCAATGGGTCTGGTAATCTCAGATAAATGCCTCTTCTCTTAGCAACAGCTCCCTTGGGACAGCCTATCTCTGGAAGGAAGCCCTGGGGCATAAAATCCTCCCGTCCCAGCCAGAGCTGAGAACCTCACATGCCAGTTCCCTGCTGCTGGTTTCTTTGGTTCAAAATGGTTGATGGTTACTGTTATTATTTATGTATTTGTATTGCAGTAGCACCCAGGAGCCCCACACAAGGATCAGAATCCCACCGAGCGAGGTGCTGTATATGCACAGTACAAAACATTCCTGCCCTGAAGAACTTACAATATAAGGTTAAAATGAGATGGATACGGACAGAAGGGCAGTACCAGGAAACATAATATTAGTTAGCATGGCAGGCTGTGGTCTTAGCACACCAGCAGCCTAAGTGCTGTGAAATATGTTGTAGGCATCTTGGCAGAGGAGAGCTTTAAGAGAGGATTTGAAGGAGGACAGAGATGGCTTTGCACATGATGACAGGGAGCTGCACTTCGCCTTCCAAAGAACAGCTGGTGGCCTAAAATATTCCTTCCACTGAGTCTGCACAAGCGCTATTTGCCGGTGAGGGAGAAGGTGAATGGGAGAGAGAAATGTGTGTGAGACTGGGATGTTTCTGTGTGTCTGAGACGGTGGGTGTGTTTGAGAGTGTGGGCTTATTATGTATGTTTGGGAGTTTGTGTGTATGTGTACACGATAGGATCTGTATGTTTGTAAGGGAGAGTGTGTACATGGGAGGTGTTTCTGTGGGTATGTTTGGGACTGTGCATAGGATCTGCATGTTTGTAAGGGAATGGGAATGTGTGTCCATGGGAGCTGTTTCTGTGCATGTGTCTGGGAATGTGTGCATTTGGGAGTGTGCGCACCCAGGTGCATGATGGGATCTGTGTTTGTAAGGGTGTGTGAGTGAGTGTACCTGGGGGTGTTTGTGTGGGTATGTGATGGGATCTATACATTGACAAAGTGCAAGTGTGTCTCCATAGAGAATGTTTGTGTGTGCCACCAGGTGTACCTGTTCATAAGGGGAGTGGGTTCCTGACTGCCAGGTAGCATGAGCACAGAAGACCCCTACATTCAATTCCTTTCTTCTGAGCCTCCTCTCTGGACCATGGTTAGGTGGCTCTCAAGGCTGCTCTTTAGAAAAGTGTCCTGCCAAAGCCAGAGCCCAACCTGCCACACCTGGGGAATCAGGAGGGGCCAGGTCAGTCTGGCCCGGCTGAAGAAAGGGGAAAGGGGGTGGATTGGTAACAACCCCCAAGGCTGGGAACTAACCTGCTTGCTGATGCACTTTCGTGGGTTTCCTGATGCTGGGCCCCTCACTTAGGATGGAAGGGGGGGATATGTGAGAGGAAG